GTGCCTCGCGGCTGCGGGTTGCAGATGCTTCAGTCGGATCTTACTCTGTATCAAGCGCCCCAATCCGCGCAGTGAAGCCCAGCACAAACAGCAGCAGAATTCCCCCGTATTTGCATCGCCAGGGGTTTGTACCGAGATGCGAAGAAGACTTCGGCGGGGGCGGCGCTTACCCCGAAATCTTCGTCGCCCAGTTTCCTCTTGGCATGGGGAAGCCTGCAGATGTGAGAGAAACAAATAGAAATTAAACACATACAGATACTTTGTAAATTATAATGATTATGATATATATATATATATATATATATATGATTCGAAGTTGTATGTGTATTGCTGAATATTTCGTATTTTGAAGGGTTCCACCCCACGGTTTCTTGTTTTTCCTTTCATTTTTTTTTGTTTGTGCGCAGGGCGGCGGAAACAACTCGACGCTTCCTCTGCAGCTGGGGGCTGACGGCCGGTTGGAATACGATTTGGTGGTTCGTCAAGGATCAACGAAAACGGTGGTTTACACGCGGCCGGAGAACGCGGACGGGGTGCAGCTGCAGGGTGCAGCAGCAGTAGCAGCACGACAACTACCGAGTAAAGAAGAAGAGGAAAAAGAACTTCTTAAAACTAAACAAGCAATTGAACAAGAACTAGAAAAAAAAAGCAACGCAGGCAGAGCTCAGCCCCAGCACCGCGAAGCTGAATTCGTCAGATATACCCCAGCCAAAATGGTATGCATGCTTACATATGCTATACTATTTATATTATTTATTTATCTATTTATTATTATTTATATTTCTCATGTAATGTTTTATTTTATTTCATCGGCCTGTGTATGAAGGTGTAGGAATACATATAAGTTGCGTAGATGTGTGTATGCTTGTTTATACGAGGCTCTGGCCATGTATCTGCATCATAATATACAAACATATTGTACAGATTATATATAGTATATAGTATATATATATGTATGTATGTATATATATATATATATATATATATATATATATAATGTTTCATTTCGCTTTCCTTTCTGTTCTCTTTGTTTGTATTTCTTTGCTTGCACAGGTAGAAGGCCACAACAGCGGTTGTGCGCAGCGTTTGCTGCGACTGGA